CGGACAAACCGTCGGCCGTCGGAGTTGCCACGGCGCTGGAAAAGATATAAAATAAATTGCGGAATGCCAGCAAATAAAAATTTATAAGTGTGGGCCCAGGGCTCTCTAGACCTCCATCCCCTCGGTTCTCCGGCTTTCGAGTTCTCCAACTGGCATCCAACCGAGCCCTGGCTTCCTGGACACGCCCCTCCTAGGCCAACGTCTATTTCCCTCGTCAAAGACGACGGAGCCGGGCGATTATAAAGAGATTTGTGTGTCTGCGTCTCGGTGGGAGGTGCTCCGCCCGCGAAGGCGGAGTAGGAGGAGGAGGAGAAGGAGGAGGACCCAAGGAGCCAACCGAAAGAGAAGGACAAAGGAGCCAACACAGGCTGACGAGGCGCTGATGACTGTCATCATAATCCCGATTAACATAATAATATACGTAATCTTTATCGGCGCTGATGATGCCCCTGATTGCGTCCCGCTCCAGAGCATATTGCTGCCTAATTTTATCTTCTGACCTCCAAATTGCCTATCAGGTTCCGATCCGAATCCATATTTTTTGAGCCCCTCTCTTTTGAGCGGCCAGGGAGATTCGAAATTAATTGCTTTATCGGCCCGTAAAAGCCGGTCAGATTCAGATTCATCATGTTTGCGGCGGGAGAATGGCGGCCGCGGTCTGCATCGATTTTTGAATAGCACTTAGCCACTTTCGCGCCTTAAACGCTCAATAGCCGAGCGATGAAAAAGGAACCCAATTTGATATTATCATCGCTGCCGTCGCCGCTGGAAAGCCGAAATCGCAAAAAACGGCAGCGAAACTTTTAGAAAATCCACTCGAGCAGGGATGCAAAATCTGAGCGGAAGGGAAAACGGGCGGGGCGGGGCGGGCGGTTATACCAACTTATTGATTGCTCTGGCTGGGAAGTGCGGGTGGAAATGGATGGGACGGCCAGCAAAATGGCAACAAAAAGGGGCAGCCGGTCGGCGGAAGTTTAGCCGAGATTGTCAATAACCGAGCGCGTGGATTGGAGGACGCCTATGTATATTGTGAGTGATTCAGTGGGCCATATGCTGATGGCGTTTCATTTTTTGCCACATAAATCCTCCTACCCTTTCGACTTTCGACCGACTGACAGCCTGCTCATAAGGAAGAGGAATCGACAGAGGCACTCTTCCATTTTTGCCAAGCGATGACAGCGGTCCATGGACTGCAGGATATTCCGTCTTCATTCAGTGTTTCCCTTCCTTTGGCCCACTGCATCTGACACGCTGAGATTGAACAGAGAAAAGTCGAGCGGTCTGCGGTGGGTAGTCCTTGGAGCTCCTTCCAGGAATGCACTTGCCGGAGAGCCACTTCTCCTCGCCACTGTTGTCCTTCTGTCTCGGTTGGCCTTGTCTTTAGTTTTGATTTTCCACTTGATCGAGTGCAAACTTCGGTCGCTCCCCGATTCCCTGCTCACTGAGGCGTGTTATCAAATTATAAACAATTTCGCCGTGAATATGCATTGTTAATGTGACCGAATTGTTCACGTTAATTAGGTTGCAGCGCCGACAGCCGAGAACCGAGCCCAAATGGTCCTGTATCCTGTAAGCCCTGGCCACATGGCCACGTAGATTCATGGATTCGTGGGCGGCGCTGTCCTAGATTAATTTCCTGCTTCAAGGGAAACGCTTTCCAGCGACGGTGTCTCGAAATCGCTGTGCAATTACTGTAAATTGTCCTGCATAAATATATAAATGTGCCGAGCTGTCGCTTTCCGACATTATGTAATCCCGCTGAGGAACGTGCCTCGAACAGAGTCTACCGTTCTACCCCTTCCACTTTCAGGCAGGCTCTCCCCCGGTTGCGAGTGGGCATTTGTCTCAAAAGTTAAAATTGCTTTTAATATAATGCGATTTTGGTTTGCTCCGCATTCCTGGAGTGCCTCGCAGTTGGTTGGCAAGCAGTTAACGGTCATCAAGTGCCTCAAACGTGTCCTGTGTTGTCCTGTTGAGACAATTTTGTACAATAAAATTTCAATAAGGCTGCAAAAAAAGGGCGCTCTTGAGGAGGCTTTGAAAAGGAGGGGGGAAAGCCGAGAAAAGGGAAATCCGTCGGACCATAAAATCAGCACAGCCCCAAAAACACACACACACACACACCACACACATCGCCATCGAGACGATAATCGTGGCCAGAGTGGAGAAGTGGAGGAGTGGAGCAGTGCTGAAGTGGAGGACAACAAACATGGTCCGGCACTTTAATCAAATGAGACCGCAGCTTCGAGAGGCTGTTCACCCACAAGAATCCCGACGGTCGGCTGTGTGTGCTAAATTTCAATGGAGCCATTGGGGCAGCCAAGAGGCCCAGAAGTGCCGCCCGGAAAAGAGAGCAGAAACTATTAAAGTAAGTGGAAATGGAGGCATTAAGGCGGAAACACGAGCTCACACATTGGGGCAGGAACGGTTCCGTTGTCAGGCCAAGTGGAAGCTTTGAACCTTTTATGTGCTTTTAATTTTAATACAACAAGGGGGCGAAAAACAAAACACTTTTCCGGCCATTCAGCCTGCCATCTCGCCAACCTTTAGTTGCCACTTTGCAATGGTGGTGCAATGTGTGCAAGTACCCCAACCTCCTCCTCCTCCTCCTCCTGTTCTCCTGTGTGCACTTTGCATGCAGATTGCAATTCATGCCAGCTGCCGGTGCTCTCAGGGATAAACCTGTGCGTACCACAGTGCGTATGAGTGATGCGAGGGCACACGGGATGGGAAACCGCTACTGGCAGCCGCAAATAGCTCGTCCTTGAAGGTGTCAACTGCAGAAGTCTGGCCAAAAGAATGAGCAGCGCTATGCCCGCAGGCATTCAGTTTATCAATTATACGAGTCACATGTAATTAATGGCCTTCCCAGACGAACAGCCTCCTGGGCCCTTTTGTCCACGAGTGCGCTGGGATTAATGAACCTGACTCTAATATCAACTCGATCGGGTCGACGTCGCAAACTATGGTAGATGCCATCGCACTTCAGGCATCCGGTCTAGACTCTCCATTATGAAATAGTGTGCGTCGGGCGGGGAGTCCCCGAGGAGCCTCGCAGCTGGCCCTACTTAAGATACAAGCCAACAAAAAAAAAAAGAAAAAAAAGGAAAACAACTGGCATCTGCATAACTCGGCGAAGATTCAGCCGCGTGTGTTTTATCCCCCATTCACAGTTCGGCAGTAAAAACGTTTAATCTAGCATAAACATATGGAGCGCAGGCATTTACATGCGACTGTATACATACATTAGGGATGAAGGCGCCAGGTGAGTCCTGGGGGTCCTTCCGCCCAGATTCCCCCCTGATGGAGCTTTAAAGAAGTCACAGGAAAACCGGCTTTAAGCGGGAAATTAATTATGCAATCCCGGGTGGTTTGAGCCAACAGTCTTTCGATTACCAAGAACTCTTATGTCCGTGGAAAAAACGGAGAAACGAATACTCAAACCTTTTTGTTGCTGGATTGCTGCTGACTTTTCGGCAGAAGAAAACATTGGGGAGTACTTGGAAAAACAATCGGGAAATATAATTAAGCAAATAAATATCATGAAAAGGAGACGTCTAACATAGGAAATATGAACCCGAATGCAAAGTGCTGCTTTTAATGGCACGGGCTTTCCTTGAAATACTAAGCCCGGGCTTTTCTGAGTTTCTGAAACTTGACAGGAGCTGAGACTTCTTCGGAGAAGACAGCGCTAAATTAAATAATTGAATTCTCAATCGCTTTAATATCAAAGAAATATAAGACCTTACTTTTGTGTTGTCTTTTTTTATAAAAGTGATTTCACAATTGGAATAATAAGACATATGACAGCAATTTTCCTAATTTCCTATCTAGCGAAATATATAATAAAGGCAATATATAATAAAGGCAACTTACAAAAGTATAAATGCTACTTTCACTGAGAGACAATAAACTAACAAGCGCGGCAATGATTTAGTTTATTGAACTTGAAGACAGAAATCAGAAAGCAATATGAAAACTCAACAACTTCTCCTGCTTTTGATTGGACCCTCGACTTATTCGACTTCGAAACCCAATAAAATGCGTTGCTGGATTTAAACTGCTTGCTCGACACACATTTCGTGGCTCAGAGTAGATCAAATACCCCCCCACCGACGGAGTCCATTAATAACCAAAGTATCGGAATGGCACTGAATCAAAGTAAAATCCCCATAAAGCAGTTTTCTGATGGGATGAGGAAACATGCTGAAATCCGATTACGGACCCACAAAACCAGTGCACAGTCGGATTGAGTATTGGCATCGGGTGCGTTTTCCACCTTCTATTTATTTGACAAATTTAGAATTTATGATGGACCCCTGCCAGCGGAGGTTCTAGGGGCTCTAGGAGCTCTTGGGGTTCCTGGGGGACTTTTGAGGGCTTTTACCATGTGTGAGCTGTGTAATCGTAATAAAAATGCACAACATGGCGCAGCTCCCATCCGGCCAACCTCCCAACTCCAGGACACACAAAAGGCAGATCTGAGGGCAACTTAGAGCTTACTTAGACATGTTAACTGCTGCGAGGACTCTTTGTCTCTACACCTAAAAAAATGTATAAAATGAGCACGGAGGCGGCAACGAAACTTGCGGCGGCAACAAATTTAATGCGCTTACGATAAATTTTTATTATTCCAGCGAATGCCGCCGTTAAAATTGGATATTGAAGAACCCACCTAGGGACGAAAAACTGGGAAGGGGTGGGGGTAGGTGGGAAGCGGGATGCGGAAACAGGAACAGGATTCGGCGGGATAGGATGGGCCAAATTTGAATTTTCCGCCATAATCGTAACTTGTCCCCGTTGGCAGGCACTCTAAAGTCCTTACTTCTGCACTTGCACTCAGTACGTGCTTTGTTTTTTCTGCCTTCCTTATCCCGTTTCCCTTAATGTGGCCATAAAATGCAGGACCTGCTGTCCAGGATGAACGCATTACGAGTGACCGCACGTTCCCCCAGCCAGGACCTCTTGGCTTTTCTGAAAGTCCTTCTGGGCAGGCTTACCTGGCGTTCGCTTAATCACTCCGAAAGAGCCTCGAAACTGTGGAAACTGTGGAAACTGCAAGTCGGCACGTGAGATTGATTAAATTTCTGATTTATGTTCTATGAAATCAGCAGCACACAAAGTCACAGACACTCGCAACACCTCCGACCGAAGGACTAGAAGAGTAACCGTCGCTTTTGACACTTCATTCACTGAGGACTTTCCGTCGAGGGTTTCCGATGAGGAGCGCGAGTGTGGCTTTCGAGCTGGGAACTGCTGGCCGAAAGCGAGGCAAGTGGCTTTTATAGGTCCAACAGGCCACGAGCGTTTGCCGCCAGAGCATTCAAAACACAACGTGTTGCAGGTTGTGGTTGCGACCAAACAAACGCTTCTGCTGCGAAGGACGCAGGCGTCGGCAGGACCGAATGCCAAGTCCTTGCTGGGAGTAGCCGGGTTCTGAACCGGAGCTTTCGGTTGCAGCCGGAAGTCGAGGATGCCCCTCGAACCTGCTGGAAGTGCCCCTGCGGCAGTGTCAACTGTGCTGGTTGGTAATAATTCCTCTGACAGTTCAATTTCGAAAAGAGTTCTGGGGAATTGGCATCTAATTATTGGCGGCACGTCTTGGTCACAACATCGGATTTCTATGGATTTCTATGCTAAAAATATCTAGATGGGTAACCCTTTTCAAGGCCACACTCCCTAGAACGACTGTCACACACTTAGCCTCCCAGTTGACCATAATGAATAGTTCTTCCGCCCGGGTGGGCTTAGCCTCCCCTCCTTAAACACTAAAAGCCCGATTGTTTGGACACGCACCTCAAATGGGAATTAAATCTGATGAGAGGCAAAGAGCACTTCATGTCGGGCCGAGATTCTCATTTAGATGCCTGCGGCTAGCTCCGCAAATATTGACGTACAAATGTTAATTATCCGCAGAGCACACTAGCTGCCAAAAGGCAGCGACTACCTGATGTGGCCAACGGGGCGGATGCTCGATAATTGTCGGCCGTTCCGGACTCTCTCCCTTACTCCCTCACTGCCGCTTCTTGGCGCCGATAGCTCGTTAATATTCAATAGCTTGTGTGTTAAATTCAAAGTGTTAACAAACTTTTGCACTTTGCACCGCCTCAAGCCAACCGTCACACACTGGCTGGCTGGGAAAAAAGGACATCCGTCTCGCCGTGTCCTTTGGCAGGAGGCATGTTGGGGCTTGCGAGGCAAGTATTTCATTAACCTGCCTCGTCCAGATACGCACCTCGCCAGCTGCTGTCTATGCGACAGCCGGCCCCCCTTGCCCATCCTTTGTGTGCCCCAAATTGTGTCCAGTGGCCACTGGAGCGAGCGGGGATTTTATTATCTTTTTGTGGCACCTCTCCCCCGTATTTCGGTGGGCAGTGGTTTTGTGGAAAGTGAAAACTCAAAAACCGGTCTGGCGTTCAGGGTCGCGGTGTACTTCGGTCTACTGCCAGGTGCAACCTGGCAGGGAAGCCAACAAAGGGGATCCCTTTCAATGGAGTTCAGCATGCATAAACACAATGTGCAACTTACCAACTTTCGGAATTAAACGCCAATTGCAAAAATGCAATATACAGGACACAGAATGCGACACATTCTGAAACCAAGGCAACCGGTGCAATCAAAAAATGGACCACCACCCACAACCAGTTACGGGGAGAGCTCTTTGAATAGTAAGCGTGCGCATGACATAATTCCTTAATTACCAAAGTTGTCAGACGCACTTAAAAGTGAGTTACAATTACAGTTTGCCTCCGCATTTGTCTGCTGCAAGCGGAATAATCGCTTGGACTCAACCACCTGGGAATAGCTACTTGCTACACGAGTAAGTGCAACTGCCGCAGACACTGACAAAGCAAACCGAAATACTTTACACACTAGCTTTCCGTTCCGGAGTCGAAATTGCAACCATCACAGTTCGCAACAACTCAGAGCATAACAATTCCGCTACGAAGTTGCTGCAAAAATATAAATATTCACTTCATGGAACAGCGTTGTGGCCAAAATACCCAATTCAATGTTGGCCATGATTCCCAAGGCAACATTCGACGAGGTCTTTCAAATAAGCTTTTTCTCCTACTACTGAACCGCAATACCACTTTCGGATTTAGTTTTTAAGAGCCTTAACATTTTCTGTTTAGTTTTCATTCAAATTTATTTACGGTTTGTTGGCTACAGCAAACCAAAGCTTATTCACCTCCATTTTCCTGTATTGATTGAAATAATAAAGTTTTACTGTATTTTACTAGTGTAAGCAACTAAAAAAATACGCATTTCAATTGTTGAATTTGCTTTAGAGCCTTCTAGTTCCTGCACTAAATAACTTTCCAAAAGATGATAAGGCTTCATGACATCAACTAACTATAGAAGTGTTCTAAAATATATTTATTCTCAAAATTATTGGTCGTAAGATACAAGCTAAGACTACTAGATACCAAAATGACATTACTCTTAAGGTAAAATACGTACATATTCAGGAAAACCCCTGTCAGTTCATTCAGAGCTTAGGTAACTAAGAATATGTGCCTTGTTGCACAAGCAATTGGGATAATATTGGGAAAAAAACCATACTCTAATAGGCGGCGGGTAGATCAAACATTCCCTGTCAATTTGGCAAATGAGGCAAAGAGCTGTCAGCGGCAGGAAAGTCGAGAGGCGCAGGTGAAGGAGCAGGACAGGACAGCTGGTTGTGGCAAGCGATTGCCCAGCGAAGCGTGGCGGCCTTTCTGCCTTCCAATATCCGCCCGCCACCCCCTCAGCACCACCCCCTAAGCACCACCCACTCCACACCCTACAACCTCAACCTTAAGCTGCAGCACTCGTCATGAAATTTGCTATTTGCAGGTGCGCGAGTTGCATTTCCTTTTCCCAATGCAACCGCATCGCTCCTGCCGCCGCTGGCTGTGTTGTCATTTCAATTTCAATTTGCTGACGGAAACTTGAGCGTTGCCCGTGACAACGGAGCCCAAGTTTCGGCAGCGCCCTGGCCACCAATTAGTGACGGGCCAACGGGACGGATACACAACCTTCGGAGTTGTGACAAAATGGCTGGGAATTGTCGGCTCGAGTGGAAGAGCGAGCGGCACGTCAGCACGGATTTAATTAAAATGTTATACACGTGCGTAAATCCCGCACTAATTGTTTCGCATCCCAGCCGACTGCATCGTTTAACCGACAATAAACCAGAATAATGGCCGGCATCATGACCAGGCCTCGCCGGTATGCAAATGTCACAAAGCGTTATTAAAACTGCTCTGCCGCTGCCGCTGCCGCTTCTGTTGCCCGGGGCGGTGGGCGTGCCACAAGGATGTGGCAAGGACACACTCTGGCAGCCGCAAAAATTTGTCAAATTTAATTTACACCTGTTTAGAAATATGCAAATATCCGCCGCAGGAGGATCCAGCGTGTGTGTGGGCCGTCGTCATCGGTCAAGGGTCTGGAAAATCCTCGCCGAGAGGAAACCAGGAAAAAGCAGCGGCAGCGAGCGAGGCTCCGAGAACAACAATTTAGCTGCACTCGTAAACATCCGCTCCTGGGAAAAGGGGAAGCAGGAGGAAGAGCAAGAGGCAGAGGATGGAGGAACAGGAGCCAGGGGATGTGTTGTCGGATGATTGCAGCAAATTGCCAACACAGTTGTTGACTTTTGGCCATGTGCGTGTCCGTGAGTTCGAAGTGCCTGTGTGCTCGTGTGTTTTTGTGTGCTCGGACTTTGGCCACTTACCACTGGCATTCAAATTGCCCCGACTCTTTTTGTTCGTGCCCTCGTGCCACGGATTGATAGCCGTACTAACTTTGATTTATTACCGCCGCACACTCACGGGAGACTGATACAGAGCGGTCGCACTGCCAAGCTGGCTGGCACTAAGCCAGGATCACGGACCAAGTCCCCTTAATAAACTATCAATGTCAACTGCAATTCGGACGGGCTAATTACCGACAGAGCCAACAGCCCGGCCCAGAGCATTATGCAACCCAAAACTAATCAGCCAACAAGGCTGATATACCTGTCGGTACTTGTCCGTGCACTTGACATCGAAGATTGGCATTTATTGGATGCGGACAGAGAGGCACATATTGGGTTCGTGGACTGATGGGCTAACTATCGCACAACTCCCCCTCAGAGCTGGCTCACGTGGCCCAGGAAGAAGGTGCTCTGCGAGTCCTTGATGGCGAAGAAGAAGGGGTGATCGGCGGTGAACTCGAGTACTTCCTCCCCCAGCACAAGCGACTCCAACTCGGCCTTGACAACTGCGGGAATGAGTGGTCAATTATAAACTTTGCTAGCTTGTTTCATCATAGGCAAACTTACAGGTGGCTCCGCTGGCTGTAGTTCCCTGTTCGTTGACTTCGATTACGGCCTTGTGCTTCACCTCCGAAATGCGAAGTTTGCCCGATTCCCGGAGCATACTTCTGAGGTCCGCCTCAGGACCGAATAGTTTCTTTATGCCCAGCTGGAATACAAATAATCTGAGTTAGTGTTGCTACTTGAATATAAACTTTAGGAAAGCTCAAGGATAAGCCTAAAGGGAACAACTAGTGTCAGTGTTACACAAACTTTCAATATTGGATAAAGGAGTTGTTATACCCTTGCAGAGCAAAAGGGTATTATAATTTGCTACGCAGTGAAGGAGACACCTCAGACCCCTTAAAGTATATATATTCTTGATCAGCATCACAAGCAGAATCTGTTTCCGCGCAAACTAGTCTCTCAGTTTTAAAGCTATCTTGCTGAAACTTTCCCAAAAGTCGTGCAGTTATTGCACGCAGTATATAATCGGAACGGGCCGGATCGGCCGACGATATCGGATAGCTCCCATACGAGAGAATGAAATAAAAAATTCTCACGCCGATGTTTTTGGTCAGATCGACTTGATTCCTTCAAGATGCCGTTTTCTACCTGCTATTGAATTTCGGATTAAATTTTATCAAAATCGGATAACTCTATCATATCATATAGCTGAACTTTCAACTAAACGTTAAGCTTAAACTAAGTTCTCAAAATTTCATATGTGCAAAGAGACTTAACAACTTATTCTATAAAATGCTTTTTATAAACGTTTAAGTTAAAGTTGGCAAACATATGATAGCAATATAAATGAAAACGTTGTTACCAAGAAGAAAATATTAGTTCCTTATTTTTCACAGAATGTTTTTCCCATCCAAATCAAACTGAACTAAAGTAAACTAATTATCCTAAACACAAATTTACAAAAGAGTCAGCTTAACTGAATGCCTTACAGTAGCCCAGAGTGATTTTAGTCCGTATGTAAATTTCGTTAAATTTTGTGTTTAGCATAAAGTACTCACCTCCTCGAGCGCCGGCTGCAGGGGGACATCGAACTCGAATTTGAATTTGGGCAGCTGCAGCTTCACTTTCCGCCTGGCCAACTGGGAGCTTATTTCGTTTAGGTCCAGGCCATTGAGTTTCTCCTCGAGCGCCGCCAGCCCCTGCTCATCCTGGGGCAGAATGATCAGGAACACGATGTCCGAGCCGAAGTAGGGCAGTTCCAGGGCCTTGGCCTTCAGCTCGGGCAGCTCGGCGAACCTGAAGTAATCCTCCTGGGACATGGTGTCCACGCTGACCTTCTGACCCCCGTAATTGGCGAATTCGCGGGCCAAGGTGCCGTAGTCGGGGAAAATGAGCTGCCAGTCGCCCTTGAAGTAGATGGCATTGACCAGGATGGCGGCCGTATTCCCGTCGAGTGAGTCCGCAGCGATGAGGTCCTTGACTTGCTGGTGGGTCTGCTCCTCCACCCAGGAGTTGATGCGCCTAGCAGCCTCGACACTCTGGGAGAAGTTCAAATTCTCGGCTGCCGCTGCAAAGTTCTTGCTAACCAAGTCCTGGTAGCTCTGGGCCAGCTGCAACTGCTGAGCCACGTAAATGCGATTGGCGTAATTCAGCTTGGGCCCGTCCTCGTCCTTCCCCTGTCCTTTGGCCAAGAGGTGGGCGAACTGCTGGGCCACCTCGCTCTTGCCAGCTCCCTCGAGCTGCAATCCCTCTTTCAGCTCGTCGGCGGTGCTGCCTTCGGCGCCCAAGTAGGCCAGAGCCAACCCAGTCCTGATGGACGAGGGCGAGAGGATGACATTCCGACCAGGCTGGGACTTGGCCAGTTGGGAAAAGAGCCTGGAGGCAAACTGGCCCTCCCCGGCAGGGGAGTGGTTAACAGTGTTGGCCATGGCCAGAATCAAGCCCTGGAGCAGCAAAAGGGACCACGTGACCTTGACTGCAGGGCAAGGAAAAATCGTCAGAGTAAAACAGTTTTTAGGTTAAGGCTTTAAGAGTTATTGGCTCTGGGGAGCATCTTCCCTACCTGACATTCTGAAGCAAACTAAACTATCCCGAAATTTAGATTTGCGTTAGACCTGGGGCTCGATTGTTATCTATGCTCAGACTGGTTTTCTCTAAATTATGATTCTACCCTAAAACTGGTTTTCGACTAGCATGAATCTTTCACGTTCTAATAAAAATTAAATAAGCGGTAAATATGTAAAGGTTTCTTGAAAACAATGGGGTTTTAATTCCTGGAAAAAGGGAAAAACACTTTGTGTGGATAATAAACAGAGCGAAGAAAACATCATCGGGGTCTAGAACCAGATATGCAATTTATTCAGATTATTCAATTTTGTACCTTTTAATCCTTTTTACTTTCTTGGTCGAATTAATATTGTTTTTAATATCTTTTAAATGTATATTTTCTAGATATGTTTTTTTATATCATTAAACATTCAGCTTTTTTTCATAAATTTTAAAAATTGGAAGTTGTAAACTTAGTTTAGTACCAAATTAATTTTTAAAAATTAATCAAAGAAAACCTTATCTAGCATTTAATTTTATGAACCCTATGTATGTTCGATTTCATCGATTTATGTAATATACTAATTATTTATTTTATGTAATATACTTTAAAAAGTATTATCATTTTTTATGTTTTAATAATTTTTTTTTTCTGTTGTTAGCTTTCACAAAATAATTATATAAATATGTTTTAGAATATATGTAGGGGAATGTTGTCAGGGTAGGGCCATGTTTTGACCTATGTCCATAACTTCTGAACCAATGACAATTCAGAATAAGTTTATACATTTTTGGAAAGGTACAAGCAAGAGGAAGTGTTCACCAAAAAAAGAGAACAAAAAAACAAAACCAAAAAAAGTTATAGGCGTTTGAAAAAAAAAAAAAAATGTAGTCAGCGTTGGGCCATGTAGTCAGGGTTGGGCCACCTTCAGAAAATATCGTAACGTGGTGGAATAAAATTGAATTCAGGTAAATCTCACATTGTTTTGTTCATTTATTCAATTATTTGGGATTTTACACTAAATATCAAATTATTCAGAGTTGCAGTTTCTTTGGGGGACGACCACGTTTCGCTGGTATTTTTGCTTTAGGTGCAGAAGTTGTTTTCTTCGCTCGTTGTTTTTCTCGCAATGCGTCGAGACTCTCTGGCGAAGTCAAAATCGTGCTACTCATTGGCCGCCGCCCTCGATTTGATTTTTTTGCTGTTGAAGTAGGAGCTTGCAGAGGTCCGATTATATTCAAAAGAGAAGAAGTGTCACGGGATGTGGATACCGATGGCTCAGTAGAACTCGAAGTTTCTGCACGTTCGTTAATTTCAGTAACGCATGAAATAACTATGCGGCGCGATGAGTCCTTTTCATTGACTTCAGCTTCCCGAACTGCTCGATCATTTTCGCCACTGAACGCCGCTTGCACATAATCCGAATCCATGAAAATGTCTGGATTGACGCGGTTCAAGCTCGTCTGTTCAGGCGTGCGTAGTGTAAGTTGTGGATGGCGACGCATAAAACCATAATACCAATCACGTCCACTCATTCCGTTGACATTCCACGTTAGAGGATAATGGGTACCAATTTTGTTGGCATATTGGTACGCCAGCTGCCTCATTTCAACGATACTCAAGCCGTAATAATGGTCGCAGCATTTTTTTATATAGCCCACCAACGCTTCTTCTTGTTCATCAGAAAATACCTTGAAAAAATAGCAATAATCAAGTTTAGAGTCTCCACGATTTACATTGTAATAAATCAACTAACTTGGCATGTTGCAAAATTTCCCAGCAGTTTTATAGTTTTCGCCAAATTTTCGTCAGAGATAGTAGAAATGTCTGGATAATCCTCTTTCACTTTGTCGACATATCGTTTTAAAGATGTTCGAGGAAAATTGTAAGATCGTGCCACTGGTCTTAACTTTTCGTTGTTCAACAGAATGGCTTTGACGGCCAGAACAGCATTTTCCAAGCTTATGTTTTCTTTTCCTGTTTTACGTTTATAGCGAGAAACACTAAAGGAAAAGATAAAAATTATTCATCTTCTTTCAATCCATCAAAATATTTTTTTAAGGAAATCTATTTAATTTATTTTGCATATTTTTGCTAAAAAAAACTAAAATATAACAACAAAAAATGAAAATACACGAATAAAATGTAAAAATTATGATGGCCCAAGCCTTATTATGGTATGATATAGCCAAACTATATCTCACAATGAAACTATATCTTAGTATTTTGTAAAATAATAACTATATAACGTATTTTTATGCTCACCTTGCGGATGACATGTTGTTTTCTTGTGATATTCACCTTTTTCGGCCAGGTAAAAAAAACTTTTTCGAGCACTTTTTCTTCACGGAGCAACGACGCGTAGAAGAATGAAATCCCGAAATAAGTAGTCACGTGGAAAGTTTCGAGTGACCGATAGAAGTTTCTAGACACCCACAAACAGATTGTTTTAGAACGAATATTCGAAATATTGAGATGGCCCGACCCTGACAACGGCCCAACCCTGACAACATTCCCCTATATATATTTGTTGTTTTATAATATTTTACATCTTATATAAGAACACATATTTATAAAAAAGTAATACATTTAAAAAAATATAATATCACGAAAAGTTACTAATCATAACTTTAACTTCCTAAAAACAAATAAATAAACAAAATATGTAGGAACAATATTAAGAGAAACCACTTTCCACCGACGGCTCTCTTAACGGCACTCTCTTCTGCTTTTTGTTTCTCTCTCTCGCTTACGTTCTCATTTGGTGTTTAACAACAGTGATGTCATTCTGTTTACAATGAAAATAGGTTCTCTGTTTGGAAATCCAGTGGCGGATCCACGGGGGGGGAATTAGGGAAATTTCCCCCCCCTTGGAACCACAAAACCTAAAAATTTTACTTGTTTGCTATGGTTGACTCTTCAAATATAACCACTTTGTTTACCAAAAAATTGGGATGGATAATTTTTGTTTTATAAATTGTACTGTATATCTCTCGCAATAATAAGTTTGAACCCCAAATCGAAGAATAAGTTCAATTTCCCCCCCAAGAATCGTCTCTGGATCCGCCACTGGGAAATCACATTGAAGGTAATCACTCTACATTCCGATGCATACTTAAATAATAGCATATGGGTATGTTCGTCGCCAGGTGTTAATATCTGCAAAGGATTTCTTTATTCTTACGTGTTGCAGTTAAGTTCTATTAATGAATCCGAGTAAAAAATATGGTATGAATGGACGGCCGATGCGAATAGTTAAACGTTTCATAGAAAACTAAAGAGTGTTCATATTGAAAAGAGAAGAGTGTTCACTAATGATATATGTATGCATGTATGGAATTTTTTCTTAATTATGCTACGGAAGGCGCTTAAAAAATTTTATTTGAGGTCAGGTCAACTTACTTAACACATATGTTTTCAGATCAGTTCTTCAAAAGATGCCGCTAAAGATATAGGGGTCTTACAATAATAGGAAGCCGTAATGTTGTGGGGAATATAAAATATTTTTACCCTTGCAGAGGGTATCATAAATTCAGTCAGAAGCTTGCAACGCAGTGAAGGAGAGACCAAATCAGGATCATCTTCTGAATCGATCTGGAGATGTACGTCTGTCCGTTTTTATGTAAACTAGTCTTATGTTTGCTATCCTGCTGAATTTTTAGCAAAAGCTAGTAAAAATAATAAAGAACTTATCTATCATATATTTAGCTGCTATAGGAAAGATCGAAAAATCTATTTAAAATTATGAAACTAAATTACAACTTCGTTCCAACCGAGATTTAAATATGGGGTAACTACTCTTGAATTTCGATTTCAATTTTGTGAAAATCGAGCGACTATAATATATAGCCACAATCATAGGAAAAGCATTTGAAAGTATAGAAAATAAATGAAATTGTTACGAATATTAAACATTCAAAAGTTATTTCTTTAAAGAACGGACTACTAAAGCGACTAAAGCTGCCATAGAAATGAAGACGAATAGAAAATTCGTAAACACCGGAGAAAAAGTGCACTTTATCGCTTACGTTAAAAAGATCAAACTAACTATCGGGAAAACATTTAAGTTTAATGTTTTGTTTAAAATGTTTTAGTCTCTGCCTCTTTTGTGGTTGTGAGCAAACCTAGTATAAGTTGCAATTTTAAAAATGTTTTAACAGGTTTGTGGTTAATTAAAACATTTAATTTAAGTAGCTGCTTGCCAATAGCTTTTACACTGTACGAATAACCGAATCGATCCTATTAATCGTAAAGTATACAGATGACATATACGGGGTCGGGTTTGATTGAATACGTATAATATAAAGAAATATACATTTTAAAGCCTAGCTTTTTAGATCATATGTATATGTATAAGCTTCGGGTCGCCGCAGCTAGCTTCCAATTTGGTTTTATCACATTCTCTTTCAATTTGCACAATTTTAACATTTTTAAGCTAGTGCATAAACACGGAAACCATTTAATCAAACCAATTAAAATAATACAAATGAAAAACTTAAGTGATTGTTTGAAAAATCGTATAAAAGCCTTTTTGATTTAAATAAAATATCCTTGGAAAGGCGTGCGTGTTTTTAACAGCAAGCCCGCAGTTTTAACAAACTTGGTAGTAACACAAAAACTGGATTGCGAGTGAACTACATACCTTATGATGTGTTTAAATTAGGTGTAAATGTTGAGCTAGTCCGTTGAGCTCTGTCGGAATTAACCTATCATTACAATTACTTTTTAAGGAAAAATACCTGTTACGTCAGCAATTCAGCATATGACAGATTTGCGAAGTACCTTATTGGCTATTTAACATGGTTGGAAAAACCAGTAAAAGTCCCATTAGAGCAAGACATTTATTCTAAGGGACGGCTATAATGTAAGATATGCCTAATTTTTCCGATTTCAACAAACATTAGGTAAAATGGGACAACATATCATATAGCACTGTATGTAAATGGGATGAATCTAGTTTTTTAAATTGTAATTTTATTGGAAAGGGTTTTAAGTTTAAGCCTGCCTAAAGCATTTGTTTATGCGCATACCAAAAATGTTTTTGAAATGTTTTTTTACCTACGTACGCACGTGCCTACATTTTGTAAGCAATATTTCATATTTTTAGACGCAAAGCGGTTTCGAGATAACACAAAGCTACTAAAAAATTCCCCATATCTGTGCAATTGGAGCCTCAGCGAAATCAACAAATAATTTATTTACAAGTTATAATGCTCAGGGAAAAACCAAATCTTTTCTAGAATGCGAAAAATGTTCAACAATTTGAACAAAACATTTCAGTGAGACACGTTTTGAATGGGAATTTCAATTTCGCTAAATGAGTAATGGCTTTCGTTTACGGTGAGTATTAGTCTATGGTTGTAAATAATAATTTGAAGTAAAGACAGTTCAACACTTTGAATATTATCCATTTATTTAGGGACTGACAACTCGGCCCTGGAAGAATACGGTGTTTGCATCGCGAATGACGAAGGCGAATGGATGATCGGCCACGAAGAACATGGAAAAGCCCGCTCGATTCGTGACTGCTACAGCTGCGGATCGGAAAACGTATAATCAAACATAAACAGATAATCCAATCTCTACTCACATGTGGCAGCCGCGGCCTCTGCCCCCTCCTCGTTCACCTCCAGGAACGCCTTGTGCGAGACTTGGCTGACTTTTCCGCCTGACTTATCGGCGAACAAGCCGCCTAGGTCCGACTTGTCGGTGAAAAGCTCTCGGATGCCCAGCTGCAAGGGAATGGTGAAGAGGCGAAACCAGATATTGGCCACAGTCAACCCACCTTTTCGAGGGGCTCCTTCAGTTCGTCGCGAAACTCGATCTTGAACCTGGGCAGCTTCACAAACACCTCCTTGGCCTCCAGCGGTCTGGCGAAGCCAGCGATCTTCTCCTCCAGCGAGCTCAGACCTCCAACTTCGCGAGGCAGAAAGATGGTCATGGACAGGTTGGAGTTCTGGTAGGGCAGCTCGAGCACTTGGGCATCCAGGTCGGGGAAGTAGTTCGCCCTGAAGGTGCCCATCTGCGTCATCATCTGGACGGGCACACTCTTCTCGGCAGTCTCCTGGAAGGTGGAGGCTTTGGTCTTTTCCGGGTCGAACTTGGACTCCCACTGGCCCTTGAAGTAGATGGCGTTCACCAGCATGGCCTTGATCTCAGTCGTCATGCTGCCGGGATCGATCATGTTCTTGATCTTGCCGCTGGTCTGGTCGAGCACCCACTGGTTGATTCTCTCGGCCGCCACGGGGCCGTTGGCCAGACTGATGGACTCCGCCTCGGCCCTGAAGGGTTCTCTGACCGCCTCATTGAAGTCCGAACTCAGGCTGAACTGGTCGTTGACGTAGATGCGGTTGGCCAGCTTCAGAGTGGGTCCGTTCTCCTGCCGCTGGTTGAGCTGGTTGAGGAGGGCTCCGTACTTGGAGGCCACCTCCTGCTTGTCCCCGGACGGCAGTCTCAGCGCACTCTGCATCTCCCGTGCAGTGGAGCCTTCCGCTCCCATGTAGACCATGCTCAGAATGGTCTCTATGGAGACGGGCGAGACGACGAGGTTCTGGTTGACATGGCTCTTGGCCAGCAGGCGGTAGATCTCCTCGGAGGATTGGCCGGCCACGGAAGTGGCCCACAGAATCAGGACTAGTGGAGGGAAAACCATTTCGTTATTAGAACAAATTGAAATCGGACCAGGGCGAATAAACTCAAGAATGCCGGAACAATTATAAATTGCAATGATTATTTATAACTACTGCAGTTTAAATGCAAAATTATAATTTATAATTGAACACAGTATTTGTTTCCCTGTCCACTTCACTGGCTCCCAGCGATTCGCCACTTACACAAGTAATTCATTTGGCAGCCTCCAACGAACTGGTCCCACGAGATAGGCATCTCTACACACTGAGCGGAGAGTGCCAAGTCGAGCTTATATATGCACCGGACATATATGTACCTGCTGGCGATTTTCGCTACTGAGAACTGCGCACCCAACTCTCTTAGATCGAAATTCAATGACTACCAGTGGGATTTCCTAGCTGAACTTTATTTGGTCTCTCTGCGGATCTTAGATATTGTATATGTTGGCATTGGAACTCTGCCTCGAAGAGCCTTCCTCTTCAAGTCCAGGCTTTGGGTTCACGAACCGGCCGGCGAAAAACACAGCCTGCGAGCTGCGAATGTAGAACACGAACGGGTGATTCGCCTTGAAGAGCTTCTTGTTCATGTTCAGCATCATGGGCACGATCTTCATGACTGCAAGTGGGTGAAGAAGTCAGAGCGGAATCTTGGGAATAGCCGACTTTACTTACAAGTGACGGCTGCCGCTTCCGACCCAGCCTCGTTTACATTGATGTAGCCGCGGTGCTTTGCCGCCGAGATCTTCTGGCCAGTTTTTGACGTAAACAGACCATCCAGTTTGGCGCAGTCGCTGAAGACTTCGGAAATTCCGATCTGTTGGTAGAAAACTTTAATTAGTAAAACGAACAACTTTGATAAAAACAAATAATAAACATTAAGTTGCAAATAAAAACTAAACAAAAAAAAAGAGTATATTTTTACAAAATATACGAAATGAGATATTATTCATGATTGTATGTATTATTATATGATTATATGTATTATTATTTGATTATATATATGTACTTCGATGCAATTTTAAAGGTTTTGCAAGGCGAAGCAAACTTTTGTTCTTCCAAGATACGAATTAAACAGTAAGAAAACAATTTGTACATATTTGAAATATGAGATTCTGTGGTTTTTGTGGTTTAAATAATTTTAAAGTTTGTTATCAAAGCGACAATTTAAATATAGCAAAAGTATTTTTGGAAAATCCTCATGAGATAAAGCCAATCTTGCGGTTTTAGTAACTTTATAAAAAAAAAAAAATTGTATATGAAATAGCTGTTATACGCTTAATCGACAAAAAAATATCTAATAATAATTTCATTAATAATATTAATGACAAATCAGTTCTTCTTTTCTTTTTTAAAATATAAAAATTCAACCCTCACCTGATTCAGAATTTTTTTGAGATCCACATCATACTCTATGCTCAATCTGGGGAGAAATATCTCCACATCTTGTAGCGTCACGGCCGCGTCAATGTCGGCTAAGTCAACGTCCTTGAGCTTTAGCTCCAACTCCTGCAGGCCGCAGACTCTGTTGGGCAGCAGGATCAGCATGTGGATGTTCGAGTTCTCGTAGGGCAACTGCACCGCCTGGGCCTGAAGCCCTGGAAGATCGGCGTACTTGAACTTGTCCTCCTGGTACATCATGTTCACATTCACGGTGGAGTCCAGGTCCACTTGGAAGAGGTCCAACATGGTGGACTCCGGCATAAAGGGTTTCAGCCACTTCCCCTTGAAGTACAGTGCGTTGATGAGAATGGCGCTAGTCTCGTCGTTCACGCACTCCGACTGGAGCAGGTTGGTGATCTTGTGATCCGTCTCCTGCTCCACCCAGGAGTTGATCTGCTGCGCAGCGCCCGCCGAGTCGGCGAACCTTGCCGCTTCCGCCTTCGACTGGAAGAAGTCGGTGGCTACTTCGTTGAACTCCGGATGCAGTTCCAGGGAGTCGTTCACGTACAGGCGGTTGACGGACTTCAGCAGGGGTCCATTGTCTCCGTAGTTGCAGTTTGTCCGCCAGAACTCCCCGAAGGCGCGGGCTATGTGATGGCGATCCCCGGGCCCGAGTTGCAGGCCGTTCCTTAGCTCCTCTGCCGTCGAACCGGATGCGCCCATGAAAGCCAGTGTGAGGCAACTTTGCACGGATGCGGGCGAGAAAACCGTGTTGACCTGGGCCTCATCACTCCGTTGCAGGGCATCTTGTGTAATGGTATCCACCAGGATTCGGGAGAAGAGATTTCTACTCTCTTGGGGATCGCTCATTTCTACCTGATAGTAAAGAAAACATTACACATTTTAAATTTGACAACTAATTTTTTGTATTATAGCAACATTTTTTGTTTTTGGCTTGACTTAAAATCAAAGGATTTAGGTTAGGATCATTGCAAAGCTTTTACTATTTGAAAAAGAGTATTGAAAAGGCTGTTGCGTTATTCAAATGACTACTGCGTTTATTATTATTACATTTAGGACTTAGAATTACGGTTCCACATTTACATACGTATGCAATCAACTATTTTATTATGATTCAAGGGGCCGTCCCCTGCATTTGCTTTCGTCATAACAAATTACTTTATAGCAAACGCCATGATAATGAATAAATGATAAAAACGAGCGTCAACTGATAAAGTTGTTGATATTTCAATGTTTTTTTTATAGCAAGTGGACCGAATTAAAAATAAAGTGGGTTATTTGTTTTCTGTGATATATTGTTGTTAAGTCTTTCTTTGAATTGGTTTAATAAGATATGTTTACTTAAGTATCCGTTTAAGGTTTCAGCTTTGATTCTGTGGCGTTAATTGCCTACCTAGAACTCCGAATTTCTTCGCGCTCTAAGATAACCGTTTGGGATCGGTGAAAGAGGTGGGGAAGTGCCGCCTTGCTTATTGATACGCTGATAACTTACACCGGAAAAAACAATCAAACCGAGGCAACTGGGAGGCAGATGGAAGAGGTGCGAATTGTCTGTCAGACAGAGCGAAACTGACTAACGCCCGGAAAACGCTGTGACTCAGAACTAAACGGACTGTGCCACGATTAGATAAATTCCAAGAGAGTGCTGAGTGGCAGGTGCTCTCGACTGAGAGGGCCAGCTGATTAGCCGGCTGGAACAGAAGCTCCCTATCAGCATATCCTCCACTGAGCAGGCCGATAGCTTATCTAGCTTCTTATTATTATAATTATTCAAACTTGCGGCATAATCAATTTAGTTCCATCTGTACTGGGACATGCAATGTAATTTATTTTTAAATTCCCTGAATTCCTATTTTGCTTTAAAAGTCGGTTTTTCCTAATTACAATGTTTTTCATTATAACCAAGTGCACAAAAACCCCACCACAAAGTCGTAATTTGAACTGTCCAGGTCAGTGAAAGTTAACATTTTTGCTAACTTGTCTAGAGATTAAAAAATACTAGGGTATATTTCTTAAGGGCCTGTTGTTTTTATTCTTTAAAATTTGTTGGAAAAAAGAGTACCCAAAGACTCTTAAATCCCATAAGAAAAAATGTAGAAACAAAAAACATGTTTGCCAGCTCTAACCCAAAATGAAAGATGCGGAGTTCGCTCAAGGATTGGAGCAGTTCGCCTACTGTTTGCTCGAGCAGCTGTGTCAAGCGAATCCTAGCCAGAATGTGATCTGTTCTCCCCTTTCTATACGGACCTCGGCCGGAATGCTCAGGATGGGAGCAACAGAGGGTTCTGCCACAGCCAAGGAGTTGGACCTTGGGCTCCGGTTCGGTGGAAAGGAGGTTCTGGAGATTGCCGACAACTTTGATGCGGTCCTCAAGGCTTACGGGCAGTGTGATATCCTTAAAATGGCTAATGTGCTTTACGTGATGAAGGGTCACGAAGTCGCAGAGCAGTTCGGCAGCGTTCTAGAGAAAAAGTTTCACTCCAAGGCAATGGAACTTGACTTTAGCAGTGACCAAGCTGCCAATACAATCAACAGTTGGGTGGAATTGCAGACCAACAACAGAATCAAAGACATTATTGGCCCTCAGGATCTGTCCGCTGACTCTCGACTGGTTCTCATCAATGCAATCCATTTCAAAGGGAGTTGGTCAATTAGGTTTAAAGAAAGCGAAACTAAAGAGGAGAATTTCTTCTCAGAGCCGGGAAAACCCGTCAAAGTGAGGATGATGAATGTGTCCGATAAATTCTTTTTTGCCTCGCTGCCCAATCTCGATTCCACCGCCCTGAAAATGACCTATAGTGCCTGCAACATGGCCATGATCGTCATCCTGCCGAATGAGAATTCGAGTCTCGCGAGCCTGGAAGGCAAGCTCTCACGCACATCCCTAGAGGCATCATCATCTTCCATGAGCCTAGAACAAGTTGATGTGAAGATTCCGAGTTTCAGAGCCGAGTTTCAACAGGAATTATCGCAGGCCTTTAAGCTGGTAAGCCGAAATATATTACCTTTTAATAATCATTTAATCGTGGCTACTCACAGATAAACATGAACCGCATATTTAGCGATCAGGCCGAGTTTGGCGCTTTGATGAAGTCGCAAGTACCGCTTTGTGTCTCTAAGATCATACACAAGGCCTTCATAGAGGTTAACGAAGTGGGTACCGAAGCGGCAGCCGCAACAGGTGAGCCTGCAATCGTGAAACATTAGTTAAACATACTCTATAAATTATGCTACAAATGCAACATTAATGTACGGTAAAAGGTTCCCAAAATGATTCCCAGTTTATACCAATTTTCCGAATCTTTTTCAGCTGTCGTGGTCGCATTTAGATCCATGCCTGCTCCTCAAAAGCCACCAAAGGTGTTCCATGCTAATAGACCCTTCTTCTATGCGATATACCACAACATCCATGGTGTCCTCTTCGTCGGTCACTTTACTTCGGCAGTTCTTAAAGAGTCTAAAAAATGTAAAAGATGTGATCATAAGAACGAATGCAAGGCCTGAGAAATTTAAACAAGTGAAATATAGGAGAACTAAAAAATGTTGAGTTTGGTTTGTTGTAATTATCGTTATCCAATAAAACAAAGCGAACTGCAGGTTACACAGCAAACATATTTGTCAATACATTTTGCAGCAAAAATGTTGAGTGTTTTGTGACATTTTAAAATTGTAAATTCCTTCACAATTTATAGAGCAATAGAAAGGATGGCTTTGAAAAGCTACATACTCTGAGATAGGGTATTAAGTCCCAACGTCTATGCTTATTCAGCGTGGCGAGAGATGTGAATTTCAGCTTGCCTTATCAGTGTGCTGACAAATTCTCATTATTCTCGAAAACAAAAACAAGTTCAAGAGGAGCTTTGTCTGATAAGGGCGCCGTAAATAGTGTGGGCCTGGTTTTAAAATAGTCTACAACGCACGCTAAACGACGAAGCTCACGTAGCAATCGAGATCAATTAGTAATGGGACAGAAACAACTGAACAATATGGGTTCCTTGGGGTTATACGGTAAGTCATCCCTGCTATCGAGTCTTTACAAACTAAGCGAAGCGAGGAAGATATGCATTTAAGAGAAAAAAACCAAACAGAGAACAGTGCGAACTAAGAGAAAAACCTGTTTGTATATACGGACTTAAGAGAAACCATTGTTGTGGGCGAGTAGGTATAAAAACAATGCACTCTGGCAGAAAGAATCAGTTGTTGCTCAAAAGCCACATCATATTATTCGAGGGTGGTACCCGTCCAAGCAAACAGAAATTAACAGAATACAAAATCGAAATCACTGGAGAAAGCTCGACAATTAGTGCTGTATATTTTCGGTTCCGATAAGCGCAGCCTAGTGAATCCCCGGCGACACGGCATACCCAAAAGCTATAGAGAACGCCATTTGTGGAGGTGACTCATCGGTCCACAGCAATTACATAAATTTATGAAACCGAGCACACCTCATCCACGGTCGATTTGGCTACTTACAGCTAGCTGGTTGCTCCCCCTGCTCTGCCTGGTCATCTTCCCCTGTCCGCCGGTCCGCTCATCTGACGTCACCATGGCCGATGCCGCCCACCACCAGGAGTTCGCCCGCCGGCTGGCCCTCTTCTCCATCAACGTCTACGACAAGCTCACGGCGCAGAAGCCCGGCGAAAACATCGTCTTCTCGCCCTTCTCCATCCAGACCTGTGCGGCGATGGCCCGTCTGGGCGCCCAGGGCCAGACGGCCGCCGAGTTGGACCTGGGTCTGGGTCTGGCCTCCAGCGACCCGGCGAAAATCGCCCAGAGCTTCCACCAAGTGCTGGCCGCCTACCAGGACAGCCAGATCCTGCGCATCGCCAACAAGATCTTCGTGATGGAGGGCTACCCGCTGCGCCAGGAGTTTGACCAGCTGCTCACCAAGCAGTTCCTGTCGGCGGCGCAAAACGTCAACTTTGCAAAGAGCGCCGAGGCGGCGGCCACCATTAACGGGTGGGTGGAGCAACGCACCAACCACCTGATCAAGGACCTGGTGCCGGCCAGTGCACTGGACGCCAACTCGCGCTTGGTTCTGGTGAACGCGATCCACTTCAAGGGCACCTGGCTGCACCAGTTCCCAAAGCACGGCACGCGGCAGGAAGCCTTTCACTTAGATGGCGAGCGGAGCGTCCAGGTTCCGATGATGTCTTTGAAGGAGCGGTTCCGCTATGCCGATCTGCCGGCTCTGGATGCGACCGCCCTGGAGCTGCCGTACAAGGACTCGGACCTCTCCATGCTGATCGTCCTGCCAAACAGCAAGACTGGATTGTCGGTCCTAGAGGAGAAACTGCGCGTCACGCCCCTTTCGTCTATTACACAGGCACTCCACCGCACCCAAGTGGTTGTGAAGTTGCCCAAGTTCAAGGCCGAATTCGAGGTGGAGTTGACGGAGGTTTTCCAGAAGGTAAGCTTCGATCTAGAGAAAAAGCCATAGAAATCATGCTTTGTAACCCTGTCTCCAGTTGGGCATGTCAAAGATGTTCACCGACCAAGCTGAATTCGGCAACATGCTTCAGAGTCCGGAGCCGTTGAAGGTGTCGGCCATCATCCACAAGGCTTTTATCGACGTGAACGAGGAGGGAACAGAGGCCGCAGCAGCCACCGGTAAGTGTCCCTCCGTGTTTCTTTGGCATTCATCACCCTCTGCATGTCCATTTGTTTATCCGTGTCTGTGTTGTCTTCTTCCCATCCCGCAGGCATAGTGGCGCGTACCAAGCGCTCTATTGTCTCGCTTGAGGAACCGATTGAGTTCCTCGCCGATCATCCATTCACCTATGCCCTTGTCCATCAGGAGGACCTGCCCCTGTTTCGGGGATCAGTTGTGCGGCTCGAGGAGAATTCCTCCTTCTCCAGCGAGCACGATGAGCTGTGATGGAAGCCTACTTTATGTCAGACCAATAAAGGCAGCTATTTATCTAACGAAGAGATTTGTGCATTTGTCTAAACATCTGGGTACCCTGTAATCGAGGAAATCAATTTCTTTAGTTTGATAGCGAACTAACCTGGGAAGCACATCAATACATTACCAGTTTGCATTTGTAAGAGTTTGCGCATGACCATCTCTGCTAATAGTATCTCATGTTCTCTAACCATATAAGCGCCGACTTTTATGTTCACTTTCAGGAATGGTCATGTGCTACGCCACGATGGTCTCGTTCGAACCACCGCCGATCCGATTCCATGTTGAGCATCCATTTAACTATTACATTATCAATAGGCACTCAGCCACTCTATTTGCGGGAAAAGTTCTTAATCTCTGAAGCCAGAAAAGCTGAAATTCAATCACTTCACCAATCATTCATCTCCGGTTTCAAGGACATTTAACTTAACTCAAATGCCGTGTAATTTTGCAGCTATGGTGATGATAAGGTGTTCGATGCCCATGCCCGAGCCGGATCCAAAACGTTTCTTTGTCGATCACCCCTTTAACTTCTACATTCTTAACAAGGACTCAACCGTTCTGTTTGCTGGCGGCATTCGGAAACTCTAAATAATCCTGGGTACTTCCTACTAACACTGCCAACCATGCGATTTGTGTGTCTCATCTCCATTTAATTTTCAGGTGTGATCGTCAGTCCCACATTGATGAACAGTTTCTCAGCCGAGCATCCATATAGGCTCTACATTACAAGATATATTCGCAAGCCAATTTTAATATGCTTAAGACTGCGCACAACCAATGATCTTTATACTTTTGTACTAACCAAGCATGTATCCTCAATAAAGTCAAAACCCACACGGCTCAAAATCTCCTCCGCTTCCATGGTCACTCCACAGGATTCCGAATAATGCCCGTGGCGGGCTTCAGACGCAAATACTTTGTTGCTAACCATCCCTTCGTTTTCTACGTGAGCTCGCATGTAGATCTCCCGATCTTTGCTGGCCGACATTTGGGCTAAACAATTGGAAGATTCTAAGGAAGTAAATTAAAGTTCAATGAAATAAATAAACGACTGCCATTAAATAGCTGTAATTTCGTAAAGTAAAAATAACATATAGAAATACCTTTGAGAAGCGCATTCAAGCCTGACCGTTTAGCACGCTATTGCTGAATTAGTATGGCAAATCGAGCAAAGATTCCCGATAGTTGGTCTTGAAGTGCCTAGCGGGACACTCTGAATATGCACCGTTGGTTGGAAGTTGGGATCCTTTTGACTGCTCTCTCCATGGGAGGAGGAAACTTTTCGTCGGGCTCCTTTAATTGTAAGTAGATAGAACTGAATCTTGAAGGGATTGCTTAGGTAGACATCCATGAGAAGTGACCCTCTACAGGCAAATGCCGGCCCTGTATCAGCTCGATGACTACGATCTCTGCCTGGATAGGCCCAGTGGCACCTATTGCATGGTTTATGTGGAGATATTACCCAACGCAAGTTCTACACTCTGGCATCAAATCAACGAAGTGTCGCAGGATGCCAAACACCGATTTCGCCACGATCGTGTCTTTAGGGGCGTTTGTCTGGAAACCTGCAAGGAAAAGTTGATGGACGCAGTTGAGTGGGGGGAGTACGAAAAGGCGGAAATTCTAGACGCAGAGTTAAACTCCTACTACAAAAGGGTGCACCAGCGACCGGCTGATACAGACGAGCGCCTCCTCTACGAAGAGTTGGTCAACAGCTGTGTGAACCTTGAGTTCGGTGAGAAATTCTCGTTGAAAACTCGTAGTCTTATCGAGTATTGTGTGACGGCAGAAGAGAAACTAGGGCACGGTAAGTACACTACAAGTTAAGCTTACAGCTTGTCAATACCTACTAAATGTACTGAGCTAGCCGTTGGTTTAAAGAATCAAGGAAAACAGGTAAGAACTAATGCAGTGGCCTTTCCCAGATGGTCTCGATCTGACGTTTTACGCTCTTCTGATCTGCATTGTCCTGCTCACTGTGTGTTCCTCAATTTACGATTATCGACTCAGCAAGATAAATTTACAGCAGTCAGAGAAGTTCTACCAAGAGGCACTTCAAGGGCGCAGTAAGTGAATGTTAACTAGAGGAAGTGTAAATAAGTGTTATGTATTTTTTTTATTACTAGGACAGCAATTGCTCACCTCCTTTTCGGTGGTCCGAAACTACTATCGACTGACCGAACCGCACGCAACTGACTTTTCGCGTGATATAAGGTTTTTTGACGGATTTCGGGTTATAGGTGTATTTGTGGTGATCCTGGGGCACACACTAATGGTTTTTATGACAGTACCGATTGAGAATCCCGAGTTCTACGAGCAGTTCCTATTCAGGTTCGAAACGGCCGTATTTCAAAACGGCAGCTTGGTCATCCAGATATTTTTTGTAATGAGTGCTTTCCTGCTCTACGTGAATTTCACCGAACGCGAAATGGTTCTCCCAAAGACTGGAGCCCTCGATTGCATTTCAGTTTACTTCCGTGTGTTTTTTAAGAGATATTTTAGACTCCTGCCGTCCCTCCTCGCCCTTATTCTGTTCAACGGAACACTACTGGTGCGCCTCCAAAATGGACCTTTTTGGAGGCATATTTCCGAGGCTGAGCGGGTATTTTGCCGCACAAACTGGTGGAAGAACGTATTCTTTGTGACGAACCACATGCTGGAAGAAAGTGTAAGTTGAGTTGTGCCTTGGTGATACAAAGTAAGATAGTCTAAGCTTTAGAAATGTTTTTTTACAGTGCTCCCACCAGACTTGGTATTTGGGGGCAGACATGCAGCTATTTGAGCTCTTTCTCATCGTGATTGTTATAAGCAAAAAGTAAGAAACTTATTTTTCATTGAAGAACTCCAAAATTGTCTAACATTTTTCAGGCACCCAAAGCTATCAAAGTTGATCTACATAACCCTCTCAATACTTGCTGTAGCAGTGCCTGCTATATTGACATACATTTTAGAGTTGGATGCTATCTATCACCTTCGACCAGAGTGGGTTTTCGAAACGAGAAAAAAAAACGTTTCCTCCCAAACGACATTTTTATTTCAGAACCTATCGCTACTTGTACTTCCGGCACTCCGAAACATTTTACCACATGTATCCGCCCTTCTACACGAATCTTGGAGGATATCTTTTCGGGTTTCTGTGCGGTCATCTTTACCTGAAGCAGCGAAGCAGAGCAGCAAAGCTCCGGGGTCATCTTAAATATGAATTGGCCTTATGGCTGCTTGTGCCGGCTGCATTGGTGGTTCTCTTCTCTGGCTATATCTTTATAAGCCAGGACTTTTCGAAGCCATCTCTTTGGTTGGCCTTGTATGCAGGTTCTCATAAGAACTTGTGGCTGCTGATCTGCGCGGGATTTGTGTTCTTGATGTGCTGTAAGGTTGGAGGTGGGTTTTTACTATGGATTTATATTTATTTATATTCAGTCACTCACGAATCTCCAAAGGGGCGGCCTATGACTTCTGCACGCTGCCTGTTTTTCGTCCTTTGGCAAGAATATCATATCAATCATTCCTCTGGCACGTTGTCATCCTGAGAATGGTAGCAGGTTACTTTAGACAACCCGTCTATGTGACTAGTTTTTACTTGGTAAGAACCTTAATATTAAAATATTTTAACACAATTAATGGCCATTTTAGACGTGTAATGTGTTGAGTGTCTTTGCGCTCACTCAATTTGCGGCTGCTCTGGTGGCGCTGCTGCTGGAATATCCTTTTGGAGAGGTGCTGCGTTGCTTGATGCGCCCAGAGAAAGGTGGGTAACAAGTGAATACCAAAAAACCTCACCTTAATTGAGTAAATTTCAGGGCAGCAAGAATGTAACAAAGAAATTCAAATGAATCGCGCGCCGTCAGCTGTTTAGAGTGACCTTGTGCCGCTCCAGGGATGCAGCACTTCAACGCTGGCTATTTTGTGGCAAGTGTTGTTAACAACTTTGATGGCTATTTTCTGCAATAAATTTAAATGTACTCAATTAAAAGATATACATTTTAAACTATATTTACCTTTCAAGCGGAAAATATGAATGACATTGTATACCAATATCCATCGTCTCTGCTTCTTTTTACACTGCTACATTTTTTTTAGCGTCGAACCGCAGTTTTTGTTAGACTAATTTATTTACCGTTTTGCTTTTTTCAAAAATGTTTTAAAAATTTTGCCAGAATAGCTCTGGTAAACATAGGTTTAATAAAAAGTTGTGCTCAAGAAGTTTTGCAAAAAATCACAATTTGTGTTGTTTATTTCTTTCGAAAAATATCGATTTATTTTAATAAATTTTCCCCATCGCTGGCGCGCGCTGATATCAACAACTCGCCCCAGAGTCGAACTTGCTCTTAGATGCTCTGCGCGCTCTCGTCGGCATTTTTGTACTCGTCCCGTCTTGCTGCTGACTGAAAAGTCTTGAAGTAGTGCCTTAAATTCCCAGTCGTGTGCAAAATTTTTAGTTGAAATCCCCCACTGAATGCGCTGGCCCCAGTGAGTGTTTAAGAGGTGAGTGGTATTTTGGTTTCTGCTGCCGCTTTTGAGCTGCCACATTAAATGTCATCAGCTATGAATCACGGCAGATATTTTTGTGGAATATAAATACTTCTGCGCGATGTCAGCGGAGGCTGTGCATTTTCCAGTCAAACTTGGTAGTAGCCGATGCAAATGCTGCGCTTAAATAATGAACGCGCGTATTACAAAATCATTAAAAATCACGGTAAAAAATTAAGTGCGATAGCCGCCGTGTCTGCCTGTGCGTTTGTTGGTGTGCGCCAAATGTGTGTAATGTGCGTGTGCTAGTGTGCGTGCTTTCTTGTGCGAGCGGAGCGGCGAACGCAGTGCATGTGAAGAGTACCGCTATAAAAGTTTAGCATCTGCTCTCCCGCTCGCGCACCGTGTTATATGAGTCCAACACCCAAAAAAGGGAATAAAGAGAGCGAAGCAGCGTCTTTGGCAGCACCAGTGCCGAAAAACGTTGCAAAAACGAGCGAAAGAAATTAAACAACTCGCAGTCGAATTTGTTGTTTCGCACTTTGATTGTATTAATTGTTTTTTTTATGTTTTCTCGTATTTCGATGTAATTTGTGTGGCTTTTCCGGCTCTCACTTGTTTACGCTGCGCGAGAGCATGAGAGTAAGGGAGAGCGGGTTGTTGTGGGTGAAAGAGAAAGGGGGAGTGGAGAAGAGAGAGAATGTGCCAATTGTTGCTGGTCGAAGCAACAAGTTATAGTGGAAAGGGGAAGTGCGTGCCGAGGGCGCCAAAATGAGTTGAAATTTAAAATATTTGCCAGCCGCCACAAACGTGGCTTTAAGTTGGCCCGACGCAGAATTACGGTTCATTTCGTGTGTGTGTGCGAGGGAGCAAGTGTGAAAAACAAGCGACCTCCAGCGGCGTCTTGGAAAGAGAAAGAGAGCGCACAGCATACGCCCCCACGCACAGCTATTTCGGTTGCTCCCCAAATGGGTTAAGCAGCAAAACTTAGCCAACACCAATTAGTGACAAAAATATGAAAAATGCACTGGAATGAAACACACACTAACACTAATACGCTCGCGCATCGCGCTTGTGCGTCTGCTATGGTCGCGATTACTTGAAGCAACAGCTGTTTGCCACGATCGTAAAACAGGCGCACGCATGAACTCCAATTGGAAGACGAACAAAATGCCAATTGGCGACAATCACTCGGCAACAATTAGGAAGCAAAATAGATTTGGAAAGGCGCTTTTTTCATACCCTCTAAATTTTTTCCAATTGAACTAAACTACGGTTTGTCGACAGATTTAAACCTCTCCCCTCCAGCTTCGTTTCTTAAAACTAACTAATTTAGGTATAACAAGATAGGAAGCTAGCTTCGGCAAGCCGAAGCTTATATACCCTTGCAGTCATCAAATATGTCGATCAAAATGCATAAGGGCTAAAAAACATCGAAACTATTACTATTTTTGATATATGATAAATTTTTCCGATTTTGATGAAATTTTATATGTAATTCAAGAGTAGTTATAGAGCTCTATATTCCAAAAATCATACTTGTCTGAGGAAAAACAACGATGTCATAATTTTATTTCCCGTATTTCTATATAGATTTTTCGATCGCTCCTATGGCAGCTATATAATAACGTGGTCGGATTTTAATGAAATTTTTTTCTCAAATCAAAAAAACTCCATGTTTATAATTTTTTTTCTATTTTTATATATATATTTTTCGATTTTTTGAATGTCAGCTATATGATAGAGTTATCCGATTTTGATAAAATTTTATCCGAAATTCAATAGTGGTTAGAAAACGCCATCTGGAAGAAATCAAGTCGATCTGATCAAAAACAACGGCGTGAGAATTTTTTATTTCATTCTCTCGTATGGGAGCTATCCGATATAGTCGGCCGATCCGGCCCGTTTCGACTTATATACTGCGTGCAACAACTCCACATTTTTTGGGAAAGTTTCAGCAAGATAGTTTCAAAACTGAGAGACTAGTTTGGGCAGAAACTGACAGGAGGACAGACGTACAGACGTATTTCGATTCAGAAGGTGATGCTGATCAAGAATATATATACTTTATGAGGTCTGAGGTGTCTCCTTCACTGCGTTGCAAACTTCTGGCCAAAATTATAATACCCTTTGCTCTGCAAGGGTATAAAAAGGGGCTCTTCAACAATTTCATTGAGATATCATGTCGCTTAAAACAAGATTTGCTATGTTTGTTTTCCATTTTTTGGCAATACCAAATGATGAATTGTATTTCCTAAACAAAGATTTTATTAAACATAAATTGGCATTTACAGATGGCTAGATTAAATTGCTTATGTTTTAATGCCTTTTCCCTTGGTTTATGAATCGTACAACTCGTAATACTAAGAGTATATGAGCAACCACAAATTGCCGCCCAGTCTGACTAAGCGCAAATGGAAATGCAGAAAGTCAGCAAATAGGTGGCGGAGGGGGAAAGCGCCAAGGGGAAGAGGAACCAGCGGCAATTAAGACAGCAACAAAAGCCTGCGCCACTTGTGATTTGCGCGGGGCGCGAGAGAAAGGGGCGGGGGCTGTGGGGAGGGGCACTGCATATGCATGTGGTTAATTTTAGCAGGAGAGTCCCACTTTCACTCGGGCAGCGACGACACCCACTGTGCAACAAGCCAGCGAGTCTGCCGCGACACTTGCGCGCTTTTTGTCAAAATCTTTGGCTAATCGCCGTCAGGCACGCACACACTATTCGAGCAGTTTGATGAACCTTCACACTTACACACACTGCAGTTCCAATGACGTTGCGCCTGCATCAATGACATCATCATCATTTTCATCGAGTCGAGCCGAACGGCGAAAGTTTTCAGTGCAGCCGATAAACAGTGGGCCCTCTTATCACGGATGACTCATACGCGCATATGTGGTATTGTGATCATTGGCCGGCTGATTAGGTATCGCTGCAGCTACACTGGGAAAAGTGTTGCACAACGTATAATAATTTATTAGAAATGCTTGGAAATTGAGTAATACAATTAAACCTACAAGCTGAAAAAATAAAAATAAATTAATTGCGCAGGAATAAAATGTTGTCTAATTTTAAAACCATCTTAATGGTAGATATTTTGAATTAAACCAAATGTGGCAATAAATTTAAGAAGCGAATAAAAAACAGAGAAAAAGTAACATTTTTCGGGTAAAGGAGCAGAAAAACAGCGGGCATTTTAATTTCTATATACACGCTTGCGTACTTTATACTAGCTTATCGGCAAAAATGCTTATTTGCAAACCTAGTTTATCAGAAGACTTTTCTGTTCTAAGCAAATTAGAGATCTACAAAAGAGCTCGCATTGAGCAATTGTGGTTTAAATGCTTCTGTTTCAAGTGTATATGGGACTGGAGATGTCATTATAACGGGGCCTTCGTCGCCACAATTGGAGCAGTGTCCCATTCCATCATCGCTTTATTTTTACCCAACACTGTTTTATTTTTTGCTCACGCCCCATTGCACTGCTGCTGGAAACTACTCTTACTACGCTTAATTGACTGCACACCCGACTCATTCGAGGGAGGTGTGAAAGGGGACTCGCTTCGTTTTAGTCACGGCGCCGAGAAACAAGAACAACACGACAATATTTGTTAGCAATTAGAATTGGCCGGTGAACACAACGTGTCGACAAAGCGCCAAGATTTGCAATCAAGCATTAAGTCAATTTGCGGCCAGTCCCCGATCGCTGGACCATCGCGATCTCATCAATTGAGCAACGGTTGAATCTCGCGCGATTGCAACACAAATTGCTGAAGGGCCCCACTGCAACTCCATTGTTAAATGATCAACGCGATTGCAAAGCGGTTGTTTAAAGTTGGCTGACATCGGTTAGTTACATGGAATGTGGCTTTATGAGCAATGAGCTATTGATGCAAAGATTCATCCTTACTCATGATAAAAGAAAACGTTTTATAGGGGCAATAAGCTTGAATAGTATTAATAGTAGGGGAGAAGTGTGGGTTGTGGGCATGGGTCGGTTGTGGGCACCCCTACGTATATTTTCACAAAATGAAGATTGACTTTTGTTGGTAATGTCATTCGCAAGCAATTACCCTATGTATGATTTATGCCAAATATCAAAGTAAATGAACGCGTTCGCTTTTTGAAATGAACGAATTGGTTTTTTTTGTGCTTGGAAAAGGTGGTGAAACTTTATTCAAAGATTTTCAATAGTGTATCAATTAAAGTGAATCGATTAAAAAGGCAAGTGTAATGCATTTTTATTTAGTCAAAGCATTATACTAAATGGAACAATATCGATTTGAACCAAAAAATTTATGCAAACACATTTTTTAATTACTTCTTAAAATGTCTGCGAAAGTTGGTTGTGGGCACCAAAATTGGGGGGGTTGTGGGCACCCGTTTTTTTTTGGCAAATTTTTTTATTACCTACAATTTCTTGTAAAATTGTTTTCAAAATTTGTTTGGAACCCTCTAGAACATTCTTGTAGAAATCTTAGGCTCTTGGAAAAGGATCCTCTCCCACTGAGAGGGATTATCACTCAATTGTGACATCTGCGATCGAGCCTTTCATCCGAAATATGTGGACATGCGGGGCAGTCATTATACATGTCAAAATTGTGTTTCCGACGATGAATAACGCCTACGTAGTCTTTGAAATAAATAAATTGTCAGTTTGTTGATATTGGTTGCTGTTTTTTTTTCCATATTATACCATTTGTATCATTTTTACCCAGGGTGCCCACAACCCCCCCAAAAAAAATTTTAGCTGAAAATTACGATTTTACAAAAGTCCATATGAAATTTTTTCGCATGACAAAATCAAGAATGTTTCTTAATATTTAGTTAGCTTAGATCTCTAGCTTTACACAGATATCCATATGTCCAAATAATATGCACTAGTTCGGTAATTATAAGCCAAAAACAAAACTATGCCCACAACCCCCACATCTCCCCTATAGTATTAAATTTTAGTCAGAAGTTTGCAACGCAGGGAAGGAGACACCTCAGACCCCATAAAGTATATGTATATATCCTTGATCAGTATCATGGTCAGAATCCAAATACGTGTGTACGTCTGTCCGTCTGTCCTTCTGTCTGTTTCTATGTAAACTAGTCTCTTAGTTTTAAAGCTATCTTGCTGAAACTTCCCAAAACAGCAGTATATAAGTCGGAGAATGAGAATTCTTTATTCATTCTCTCGTATGGGAGCATTTCGATATAGTCGGCCGATCCGACTTACTGCTCTGCAAGGGTATACAAAATTATAACGTCGTTGTTTTTCATCTCACGAGCATGGTGTTTTTAATAACCCTTGGAATCGAGAAAAATTTCTGCTTGTTCTCCTGATATTTATTGTTTTTTATCCAAGGAATTTCCCTTCTAAAATGTATTTATGTAGCTTAATACATAGTTAATTTTTAGATATGACAATATTGTACAATGATGTACAAAAGGTGTGATTAATTCAACAATTTATTGTAAAGAACAGCTTTCAATAGCAGAATCACATTGTTGATCAGCTGTTATGGATGTTGGGTTCCCAGACACACCACCCGCATCGCATAACGACACTCTCCCAGAGATTTTCTTGAACCAACTTCCGTTATGGGCGATCTCTTGTGGTGGCTGGTCCGCTGATTAAACCAGCGGAGAGTTCAAGTCGTCTTCATGCCGAAGGGGCCACATTTTTGGCATTTGCGAACTGCAGTTGCGAATGCAACTGGGATCGAGTGGGGGAGTGGGAGAGCTTGATCCGACGATGATAACTCAGGCATGGCAAATGCCAGCGATGCCAACAAAATAAATAAACACATCAAATGCGATTTACAACGCTCCTACGAGCATCGTGCGCCTGTGCTTGTGTATGAAAATTAAATTTTGCCTAAGATGATTTAATTTTCTATTAATAAGTTTGACCTTCAGTTGCGAAACAAAAATTTTCCCGCCTGCAAACGAAGGTGTTTGGCATATAAACACACAAATAACAGCGCATACACACGCGGCAGATATACATAGATATAAATTCTGGGTACAGCGCTTTGGAATATATTCCATTTGCTGCCGAACATTTCTGCGGCGCTCCAGATCCTATAGGCGTAGCACTTAACATTATCTGTGCGGTGTTTAGCCAACTCCGGTCTGATATTTCCTTATCAGTCGAGGGGCCTCGTCGATAGGACAGACCCTCTGCCAAACTCTCCCAAGAACAAAACGGCCTGGTTATCACCTTGTGTCCAAGGTATTTGGTGTAGAAAGTAATAAACTATCGGGCTCTGCTGCTTTGGTGCCACTTTTTAGGGGGTCAATGACAAAGTTTAGTGCTTGCAATGAGTATGAATATGTTTCTGCGAACAAAACAAAGCGAAGAGAAGTAAAACGATTTTATGCCACTTTTCTGATTAAAAACGAAAGCTGGTCTGCGGCAAGAGTTTAGTCAGCCTGGCGGCCTCGGCCCAACCCAGAAATGATTTTTGCGGCCGTTCGCAGCACGTATGTAGCTATCTAGAAGTCTCTCGGAGTGTTAGGTTTGGGTTAAGTTTTGGGTTCGCGTTCGGGTTCGGGTTCGGTTTTGCTTAGCCATAACTCACGTGTTGGCGGGCTATTCATTACCGAAGTGAGTATTTGAGCATTATGATGTCATATAAAGAAAGGGTTCGACTCGCTGGCCAACTGATAATTCGACACGTTCCGGATGGTGGTTCATTATCGAAAGTAGCGCCATTTGTGGCAGGTGTCAGGTGAAAGCGTTCTAGGCGCCTTGCCTCGTTTCCGCCGATTTCAGTCGCCGATACTGATGCCATAACCAATTTTGATGCAACCATTCGCAAACAATGTCAGCTCGTCAACAGCCAGCTGCGAATGGGAAAGCTCATTGATCTTCGCAACAAGCGATATTAGCATGCAAATTTATTAAACTAATCGAGGCTGCGAAGCGCGGTGAAAGAAAAACGCGTTAAGTAAATACATACATCAGCGAGCGAAGCTGAAAGCGAATAGCAATACGTACATATGTTATGTGTCGGTTTATGCGTCTCTTTTAGCGCGTATGAAGCTGAATTCGTTATATTATATGCTTTTGTATTCGAGGCAACCAGAGATCAACGTCTGCCACTGATTTTTGTATTGGAAAAATGTTTCATATATTTCAAAAACGATTGCAATTATACGATAGTATGATCTTAGACTTAGGCTCACCCCAAACTTCCTTTACTTATGCTCCCCATTTTCATTCCAGAGTTAGAAGTAGAGAAACTCAGGACTGACCTCTGACCCCAGCCACCGCAGCATCAAGATGTCGTTTCGCGTTGTGCGCAGCTCCAAATTCCGCCACGTCTACGGCCAGGCCCTGAAAAGGGAGCAGTGCTACGACAACATACGTGTGTCCAAGTCCAGCTGGGACTCCACATTCTGCGCGGTGAACCCCAAGTTCCTGGCCATCATCGTGGAGTCGGCGGGCGGCGGAGCCTTCATCGTCTTGCCACACAACAAAGTGAGTGCCCCAACGGACCATTTATAGATGCAGTCGTCTATTAGCGTGCTTCCCCAACGGACCGCTTGGTGGGGTATTTTTAAATAAGACAATGCCCAACTATTTATAGGGTTCTTTTTGGCATTAAGTTTGCGGCCATTTGCGGGCTTGTTGCCACGTCGCGACTCGCGAGTGACGTCGACGGATTTCGCATGACTCCCCCCAATCTCAGATGTATTTATAAATAGTTATGGATTCTGCTGCTCTCGCGGCAGCGGTTCTCTTAGCTGGCGCACTTTTGTAATTTGGCCAAAAGCCAACATGACAAACAAAATCGTCTAATTTTAGAGAGAGACGGAGGAGCAGCGCGATAAATGAAATCCGAAAGTGATATTTGGGCGAATCATTGCATCGAAATGCACACTTTGCTTGGCGTATTGCCTTGCAGTAAAATATTTGTTTATATTCCTATTAATTCAATTTTCGCTCTACCAAATTGTTTGGACAGTGTTCTCCAAATCGAGCCTAATGCGCTTCCGTTGAGCTGTCGTTCTCTCCGCAGCTCCCATAATGTGTAGGCGGCTGTCTCACCTCCCGATTCCCCCTTCTCCTCCTATGACACCCCATATATTTTTTTGGTCAAAACGTATTTAGAGGCAGGCCGGGTGTCGTTCTAATTGGAACAAATTTGTATGCAAAACGCGAGGCTGCCTCCATGAGCGCTTTTTTTTTCCCCCTGACTTCTTGACGATTAAGCAGTTGCCGCTTCTCTAAGTGACGATTTCTATGTAGAGCGGCTTTCACACGCCCTATTTTACTCATTTTAGGGGCACTGGATTTGGTCGGAAGAGAGGCGGGGCACAAATGGACAATAAGTGAGATCCATCAAATCGTCAAGGTTGGCAGCATGTGGAAAGTGTGGAATTGAGCAAGCCAAAGTTCTTGAAAAACCAAAATAGATTTTAATGTTAAGACATTTTTCGAAACTCATATTGATTACAGTAGAATCCGCTTATAGCGACTTTCTAGGGACCGACGAGTTTTCATCGTTATACCCGGAACACGCACTAAGCAAAAGGATATATGTGTATAGGTCTGTCTGGGGACCAATCAAGCCATCGAGTTTTCGTCGCAATACCCAGACGGACACTATAAGCGGAGTCGTTATAACAGGATTCTACTGTATTTAAGTTTTGATTACTTGTTGTGCATACATACAAGTTTTTTTTCAAAATATTTTTTGATAGAACACCCCATTTAACACTTACAATGCTAATTTCACAGGTTGATTCTTATTTATTATCTTTATTTTGCTGTAATCATGAATACATTTTTATATTCAAGTTTAACCTAAAGACCGAATGTATAGATAAGGATCGCATAATTTTTCATCGCATAATTATGTTATTTTAAAAAGTAAAGTTAACACCGGATTATAATATGAGGTGTCTCCTTTACTGCGTTGCAAACATGTGACTGAAACTTTAATACCCTTTGCTCTGCAAGGGTATATACAGAATATATTTGGCTAAGCCAAAACTATAAACAATTTTATCCCCACTGCGCTCCCCCAAATCAAGTTCTTTTGGCCCTCAGACCTTCCATGATTTGATCGCCATGCTCTACTGCAATCGGCATGAAGTTGGGGATTATGAATTGCTGGCTCCGCAGATTAGCGAATATGGCAGAACCGAATGCACCGAGGGGGCTATAAATAATAATTCAGGAATTGGGCCAATGGGTCGCGAGGTTGCAGTTTTCCGCTGGTGTCTGGTGGTGACGTCGTCGTCGTCAATTAATTAGTTTGGCATATCGTTATAATTGGAATTAAATGGACTTTTTTAGGTTGGTCGCATAGCGGCGGACCACCCGCTGGTGGGCGGGCACAAGGGACCCGTGCTGGACATCGCCTGGTGTCCGCACAACGACAACGTGATCGCCTCCGGCTCAGAGGACTGTGTGGTGAAGGTGTGGCAGATTCCCGATGGCGGCCTCTCCCGCACGCTCACCGAGCCCGTGGTCGACCTGGTCTTCCACCAGCGCCGCGTGGGCCTGGTCCTGTGGCATCCCTCGGCCCTGAATGTGCTGCTCACCGCCGGCTCCGATAATCAGGTGAGAAAATGATTACCTCCGGTTGAAATCTGGTTGCTTATACTGTATACTGTACGATTCAGGTTGTCATTTGGAACGTGGGCACTGGCGAAATCCTCGTGCACATCGACTCCCACCCGGACATCGTGTACAGCGCCTGCTTCAACTGGGACGGCTCCAAGCTGGTCACCACCTGCAAGGACAAGAAGATCCGCATCTACGATCCGCGCACCGCCGAGCTGGAGAGCGAGGCCATGTGCCACGAGGGCTCCAAGGCCACGCGGGCCATCTTCCTGCGCCACGGTCTGATCTTCACCACCGGCTTCAACCGCAGCTCGGAGCGCCAGTACTCCCTGCGCGCCCCGGACGCCCTCAACGAGCCCATCGTCATGGTGGAGCTGGACACGTCCAACGGCGTCATGTTCCCGCTCTACGATGCCGACACGAACATGATCTACCTGTGCGGCAAGGGTGACTCGGTCATTAGGTACTTCGAGGTAGGTTCAAACTAGAAAATTACGCAAATACGCAAACTATTGCAGATATTGCAAACGTTTTTGCAATTGGATGTTAGTTATTATTGGAGCATCTGTGTATTGGAGGTGTATAGATAGATTGGTGATTTAATGCTAAGCCCGAGTTAAAAGACCATGAGCCATTATAATCGTGGCAAGTCGCAGTAAATTATGAATATAAAAATACTTACATGTTGCTTGCAGGATGATCACTTCCTATAAGATTCCTTTTCCTCTGTCCATCGTGGATAAATTAAATAAAAATAATATACATATATATATTAGGAGTTCTTTACCAAAGATTTACAAGTTATTATTGGTATTATTGTTTAGGCATACTTGCAGAATCGAGATAAGATATTTTTTTTAGTAAATATAATACTCTGCTCCCATTGAAGCGAAAGCTCTCAATATTTATACTTCTCTTTGGTTCTGTATATTAAATTTTAAGAACCAATATTATGCTTTTATTCTTGTTCTCATAGCATTGTTCTAGTTACATTTGTTAATACTGTTGAAAAACTTACTTATTACTTTATCTAATCCACTTTTTGTTGCTATCCAGGTAACGCCCGAGCCTCCATTCGTACACTACATCAACACGTTTCAGACGACAGAGCCGCAGCGCGGTATTGGCCTGATGCCAAAGCGAGGCTGTGATGTCACCACCTGCGAGGTGGCCAAGTTTTACCGCATGAACAACAACGGACTGTGCCAGGTCATCTCGATGACCGTGCCGCGCAAATCGGATCTCTTCCAGGAGGATCTCTACCCCGACACGCTAGCGGAGGATGCCGCCATCACCGCGGAGGAGTGGATCGACGGCAAGGACGCGGATCCCATCACGTTTTCGCTCAAAGTAAGTGCGCTACAGAGGGGCGCCCTATCCGCACTCTACTCCGCGTTGGAAATACAGCGCTCACAGCCGAATGTGGTAAAGGTTGGGCCTCGATGCCAGCCGATCCGCCGGCGATCAGAGCGTACATGATATAGGTCATATATCAGCATGTTGGCTCGCGGGGCTCGTCCACGGAGGCAATGCGGCTCGAAGTTTATGAAGCAGCCGCTGCCACTGTGGACGCCCCTTCTCCAATGTATTCCAACGGCTTTCGCAGTTGCTTTCTGTTGCCAGCAAAACGGGCCTTCAAAGGGGCTCCGTTCCAAGCCCACTTCCTGCATTTGTCGGTGGCTACCAGCGTGTGATGCCTCTGCTTGCTTTGCTTGCGTTCCTTTCTGCGTTATCTACGTTTGTGTCTCGTCCGCCCAGCCACAGTCCACTCACCCACACTGATTACAGACCTCAGATTGAATGTAATTACTTATTTTTGCCCTGTGAGATGTGGCCTTGATGTAACCAAAAGTTGTCTCACATATTTTAGAGGTGAATGTTAGAAAAGGACTTTGAGAGGGAAAAGATCTTTTCTTTGACCTGAAACAATCTTAAAAAAATTAAAAATAAATGGACACCTTCAACGTATCTTCAGCTAAATTCTTGATACAATTGAATTACTTTATCTGAGACTAATTTAAGGGCACTAAAAAGATTATAGGAAGGGGATATAAAATAAAAATGGTGCACATTTCTTTCAAATTATCATCCGGACACCCCCCCTGCGTCCGCCCCTGAATTTCACACATTACAAGCATTTAACGATAGGTGTCAGGCAGAGTCCCTACCAATATCACACTGAAATCCAAGCTGGATGCAGTAACACGCCGCAAATATACACACTTGGCCCTAACACGCACGTGACTGCGCGTGGCGCTTGTTGTTGTGTTCATTGTTGCTTGTTGTGTTCTGAAACGAACAGATATTCTAACCCGCCTAATCAGGATCGCGTTTCCATTGTGCAGGGTGGCTACGTGTCCTCGTCGGTGAACAAGTCGCTGCCGGCGAAGAAGGCGGGCAACATCCTCAACAAGCCACGAGGCGGCGACGGCGGCAGCTCCGGAGCAGCGAGCAGCAGTGCGGGCAGCGGCACCTTCGCGTCCGGAAACAACAACGAGGCTAGCGATGGCGCACCGCCGCCGGCGGTTATTTCGGTGAGTACTTGGACTGCAGCGAACTACTTCCTATTAATAAAGTGTGCTTGAAACCAACAGGAAAAGGACCTGCGCACTATCACGGACGAGATCCGCAAGCTGAAGGCGATCGTCGTCAAGCAGGAGAACCGCATTCGCGCCCTGGAGGCCAAGGAGGACGCCCGCAACAAGAACGGAAGCGATGCCGCGCCAGCCTCTGCGGCATCGGCCTCCTCGGACGGCAAAGCCAGCGAAAGTGCCAACGACCACGCGTCCACATCTGCAGCAACGGCAAAGGACGAAGACTAGGTCTGGCGATGAAGCCAGGACTGGGCTGATGGAAATGGCGAAATGGATTGGAGGAGAGATAGAGAACTGCTTGTAGAAGCTCGTAGTTACCGCTTAATTTCTCTAATGCAACATAACGTTCATTTCGTACGTACTAAGGGCAAATCAGAAGCGATGAGTTATTGTCTATTACGATTATGGTTTCGATTATTTATTTTGTATAATTTTAAATTAGGAAATCAGTTGAGTGTGGCACAGATAGGGTTAGAGAGCCGAGCTATAACCATTAATTCGATCATTAGCGAACAGAGCTGGGCGGTCAACGTATATAACATAACATAAAACTACATCCTGCCAAAAATATATAAAAACTTAACGAACTACCTACGATTTGCGCCCAAAATCGAGCAGAGCGGCCCTTCGGTCATTCTGTTGCAATAAAAGTTTGAAATTGTTGTAAATTTAACAAAGGCAAATCATAGACTAAACCTCAATCACATAAGAGTTAACATTTACCTACCAAATTTGTACGAGCTCCTTTCTATAACGTCTGTATATTTGTACGTCCCAAAAGTTTTCATGACAATAGTTGATAGATTTGATACTGTTCATCCTAGCTGTGGCCCCCTTAGGTAGCCACTTTTCACTGCGAATTGTCGTGTCAAACATAACGAATTTAGTAAAAAAGTGACGGGGGCCACTGGACTTAATTCGTTTTCATAATCAAAATTCTTGTTCAAACTAATGTTAAGCTGTATTTTGAAATAATAAGAATAACAATAAATGCAACAAAACCAGAAAGAAAATGAGAAATCAACGAATACATTTTTATAAAAGGTTTATTTTCATTTTATTTTTTTGTTTTATTTTTAGTAGTTTTGTTGAAAAGAATGGTGTTATGCTGCAGAAAAAGAGAATGGGAGCGTCACTAAATGCCTACCGATTTTGTAAACCTATTAAATTGTAAAACTCTGACTATATACACTTACATAAATACTCTATATACAAATAATTTACAATTTGATACGGAATAAAACAATATACAAACAATGCCAGAAAAACCCCGATTGCTAAGAATTTAATTAAACTGATGGAATCTTGTATGGCACAGATTGAGTGTATTTTGATTGAGCAGGCTTGCTGGAAAACATTTAACTATGTAATTGACAACTTTAAATTGCAGAAATAAGCCTATCCATGCACTATTAATTTGTGGCAGCTCATTTGTTCGGTTCAATTGAATATGCAAATGCATTTAATTTCTGCCTAAACAGCTTTGGAGAATTCTGCAAATGTGTTGTGTGTAATTATTACCTCGGCGGGCAGGCCAAAAAAATGCAATTACAATTTACGTGTATAACGATTCTGACATTTTAATTAAACTTGGCCGAGTGTGCTTTTGTGGGTGTACGTGGCAATTATGATAAAGTGTGTTGCCGACCAAGTTGTTGATTTAATTAAAATTATGTTTGTTATGCAATTTGGCTCAATGCAAGTTTCGACGCTTGCCCACAGCCATTTGTTGACCTTTTCTGTTAGACAGGAGCATGTGTGAACAGAGCTGTAGAGATATGTGATTAAGCGAGCCGAAAGTTGGCTAGCCTAAGAGCCAGAACGTGGAACTAATTTTAAAATGGTTGCATACTTTTGGACGGCTTTTGTAGTGCACATTTTTGAAGTGGTAAGGTGATGTGAAACAGATGGACACCGGAGATATGGAGGGATAAGCAGAACTTCGCAGGAAATGTAAATATTGTGACTGGGACTGAAATTAAATTTTCTGTTGATTTAATTAAAATGATGTTTGTTATGCAATTTGACTTGCATTAAAGTTTCGACTCTTGCTTCCAGCCATTTGTTGACCTTTTCTATTAGCTATGTGCTATGAGTTGGATAACCAAAAAGCACAGAACGTTAAACTAACTTAAAAACAGGAAAGGAACTAGCTACCCTTGCAGTCATAAAATATCTCAAACAAAATACATAAAGGCTGAACAACATCGATGCTATGACTATTTTTCTATTAATATTCCAGCTGGCTTCCTTTCTTGTTCGCTTATAAAATCACTTGGCGTATGAGTAATACTTTCATTGACTTGGTTTATTTTTTTCAAAGTTCACAATTCCTTTTTTCGCATGGAAGTTTTTTTTCCTTTAATGATCTTAACAGATATTTTTAAGTGACAGTAGGTTGGTTGCTTGATAATCACAAAAATAAATATTTTACAAGAATCAAGTATCAAATTTGTGTTGCTTCAGAAATTGTATTATAGAAAATATTGAGAGGTAAGCAAATATATAAAGTCGAATGTCTACAATAGCCGTGACATTTCGCTGTTAAATCATGTCGTTGTCATCATCGCGGATGAGCCACTAAATCATGATGCTGCGGCGGTAAAAAGCAAGCTCAATTTATGACCCCTCCTCCACGAAGATGAGGTTACGGCCTTAACGCCAATGATTGTGAAAACCGTTGCAAGGCATTTGTTAATTAAAAGCAAGCAACAAATACGCCGAGTCCTAGGAGCAATAAGACGCGGGAACACGTGCTAAATAAATACTCCAGCTCGCTAAGTACCAGCAGACACATCGCCCCCTCCAGGCCACCCCCTCCCAACCCAATTTGACGGCGCCTCTGTCGTAAATTCACACGAGCCGCGGCCTTTGTTGGTGTGCGTGCCCGGCGCCGTTTTAATGCATAAGGAAACACACGCGCACAAAAGGAGCCGTCAAAACATTTCTTTCTCCGCCGGCCGTGTTTGGGTATTTGTTTATTTTCGCATGAAAATAAATGCGTTTAATGGCGGAAGTTTATGCCTCGTAAAGAGAAGTTAATTAGCTTTCTCGAGTATGAAATTTGTTCCGCGCTCCGCCCAAACCAGTGCATCTCATCCCGCCGCCTTCCCCAATGGCAAATTGAAAATTTTCCAATATCGCATATACTCGCACGGCCACAGAAAATTGTTTAACTTTCTCCTGACTTGCCTTCGATTGCTGCACAGAAGAAAACGCTGAAGCCACTTTCAATTATTCGACATGTGAATTGAGTAAAGGAACTAACTAGAAGTATTCTTGGTTTCACAATCTAGCAAAGCATCTTCATTTGGATATTTGTTACTCGGGACAGAATATAAATGCACTTAGTTTATTATTATTTAGCCATGCTTATCGCTTTGTTTTGGTTTCGAACATGTTTCTTGTTATTAAGTTCAATAGTTGTGACTGCCAATATTGCATACATAGAATGGTTTTTGGCGAACTGTTCAATAAAAGCCTCTTGTTTTATATTTATTTATATAAAAGCGTGAATTGTGTTTGGGTTATTGTTTATTTTGAACAATGAACAATGAATGTTACATTTCAGCCATAAAATATTTTGTCTGATTTTCTCCGAGTGCGGTGGCTGCTGCCGACGTTGCTGTGGGGCAGTTAACACATCAACTTCGTGGCGGGAAGTCCCTTCAGGTGAGTCTTAAAGTCAAACTGGCGACGTGTTTGCATCTGTGCCGCAAAGGCAAATATGTACGGCATTTCCTAGCTGGGACGGCTGGCCCATAGTTTCCGGCGCAGACAAAAGTTGAGCTTAGGGACAACCGACATAAGAGGCCGAAACTTTCGCAAAAGCGCACGCAACCAAACAACATGAAAATAGTTTTTCTTCTACCACATTTATGAAATGTGCACCGCAGGGCTCGTGGGTTGAGTGTTCGAGTGTGTGTGTGTGTGTGTGTTGGCCGTACAATAACTTTCACTTTGCAGGCGGGCGGGGTAATGGGAAAAGGGCTGGGACTAAGCGGCTTAAAACTTGCGCTAGGATGCCCAAAAGTGTCGAGCCAGCAACTCTCGCAGGAGAAGCGACAGGAGACAGGGAACAGAGGACAGAGGACAGGAGACAGGAGACGACTGCCAACTGCCATTTTTGGCAAATATTTGCACAGATAATGAAAGTGCACCCACACTTTGAGCCGAATGTGTGGGCACTAGTTGGCAGTTGGACAATGTGTTGAATCGAGACCGCCGGCCGCCCGCTGTTGGGGTTCGATTCTGTTGACAATTCACTTTGCAGCGGTAATTGACCCTAATGCTGTTGCTTCTGATTCCTGATTTCTGGTTTCGTTCAGCTGCTTTCAAATCGATACCATTTTTGGCAGCTAAATTCAATTTGGCAAAGAGCTCGCACACACACTCGTTCGCCGAGATGGATACTGCACGTGCCTAAATACATTGCTAAAATGTCAAGAGGCACGTTCCAGTGTTTTGTGATTTCGCTTTTGCATGTCATGTGCGCCAAAACAAAACTTTGAACTTCGGGAGCTGCTCTTTCAGTTGCCAACTACGTGACTATCAGGGAGCGTTTGCTGTTGCCATAAATGTGGGGCGGGGAATGTGTGCGCCATTGCCATAAGGACGAGTGCCGGTCGGAGCAATGCCATCTAATTCAATTACAATTATTCAAACATCAGTTTGCCGGGGCGGGCAGCGTAGGAAGAGCTAGGCCCACAAAAATATTTAAATGCGGATCGATTTGCAGGGTTCTCAATCCCCAATCCCCGTTTCCCATTTCCCGTTCACGGCTTTGTTCCAATGCAATCGTCTGTGGCTAATCGTCTGATATTTGCCCGATGTCTGTGTGGACGGAGCGTCTGGCCTCCCGCCGCTCGAACATTCATTCGATTCACATTCACATCCACATTGCCATGCACATTGTCAGACGGCCATAAATTAGGCAGTTGCTAAGTGCTTCGATGTTTGGCTGTGGCTCTGGTTGCGGCTTCGACTTCGGTTGTGGATCCTGCCTACTGTTCCGGCTCCGCAGTCAGGACAATGCTGGCCAAGATTTATCCGTGTTCGCACTTTCTTTTCGGATACCCACCCAGTCCTCTCCTCCAATCTCTATATCCAAATTAAAGCCTCGCTGCATAGTTACAAGTGAAAAATGCGGAGGACATTCAACTGTTTTAGCTGGAAATTCTGAATGCGCTGTGCGTTTAACAGGCTCCCAATTTTATTTACTGCAGCAAGTGAGCAGAGTTCGACAGCTAAATAATGGAATTTTCATGGATTGTTTGGTCAGCTTTTAATATTTAACTTTGCATGCCGGCTGACTCCCTGCTGACTAGCTAAATATTTGCAATACATATGAGCGGGATATCAAACAATTTCTGCACAAATATTCCCTTTAGCATGCACTTTTATATCCCGTGCTGCAATTTTCCAGAAATAGCAATTAGCAAAAGGCAAAATGCGAGATGTGAGATGTGAGATGAAAGAGCTGATGACTGAGGATTGAGGACTGAGGACTCGTCGGAAGGGCAAAAAACCCAATTATCACATATTCAAGTCAAGTGCTGGTCCGTCGACTCCTCTGATGTCCAAGATGGCTCGCCCTGATTGTGATTCCGGCTTTGGTTTGATTCCACCTGCAAACTAATTTACATGGCTTTAAAGTCACACTAAGAAAAATAAACAAGTTGCTTGCGTTCTTATCAAATCATGTTTTAATTAAAAACTTTAAAGGGGAGGCGAGTTAAGGGTTTAAAAAGCAAATCAATAGGAAACGATTCCTAAATAAAACCATTTTCCTTTAAGACAGAACCCCTCCTGTTATTGCAGTTCCCATAAGAGCTCTAATGACTAATTTTTTTAAGCTCTCTATTTTTCTGAGAACAGTTGGGGACTGTTTTCGTTTCGATTAAGGCCCGGTCAAATGTTAATTGAAAGGGGACAGACTGGGGGACGTGTCTCCATTATTCGGGCTCCTTGGCCTGGCGAGCTCTGATTCCGGCTTATGGTTATAGATTGGCAGGCAGATAGCCAGCCATCAGTAAGCCAGCTGGCTGAGGACTCATATTCCCCGAAATTACCCCCAGCTCGGGCTGGCTGAAAGGCCCTTCGCTTGCCTTTTTCTATTTGAATTGCTTTGCCGGGGTCTGCACGTGCACACACTTTTAATTACACTGCACATTTGCACTTCAACTGCAGGTGCAGGTGTAGATGCAGATGTATCTGAGACACGTTGACACTGAGGGTTCGGCGAAGGTTTGGCTTTCCGGGGCGGGGG